TGGTAATTACCCAAAAATGTTAAAGATTTCATTGAAATGTCTATCAAGTAGAACAAGTTTTTGCTTATTTTTACGGAAACCGTGTTGTACGTATTTCGACAGTAATTCATAAGCGTCCTCACATAACGAAGCGCAAGTGTTCCCATGGCGCTCAAAAACGTGCAAGCGAGTACTCCCGCAGGGGAAGTAAGAGTTCTATATAAGGAAGCTCATGATTATAATTTTGATTTGCTGCTGTACACTCTTAAAAAAAGTTAGTAAAAAGGTAGCAACTGCAAGCAAATAGGTAGTAGCTGCCGCGGTTACTACTTTTCTTGGACCGTTGCTACACTTTTGCGACCTGTTTACTACATACGTTAGTAAACAGATAGTAACTGATATGAAAGAGGTAGTAACTGCAGCCGTTACTACATTTCTTGCCCCATTACAACCTTTTACTACCCGGGTTCGGGCGGGCCGGAGCATGAAGTTTTCGGGCTGGGCCGGGCCGAAAAAATCAGCCTGTGCAGTGCTCTAGCACTGAGCTCCTGCCCTGCTTGAAGACTGCCACGCCACAGAGCTGTATGCTCTCAGAGCATCCATGCTGTGACCAGGCACTGCGGCCCCCTGACCTCTCTTCTCGCCTGTTCCTTCCAGCCTGTCGCCTTTTCCGCTACCCACGCCTTCCATCTCACACCGCTCGGGGCCGGGCAAAGCGCCATTAGCTCCCTTACCCGCTGCTCGAGCTTGGTCCGTCTTTTCAGTTATTTTCTAAGGTCGCCTTTCATTTGCTCAAATAGGCTGGCGGTAGCCTCCTGCCGCTCACGCAACGCTTCTAGCTGTTTTTGGAGTTACATCCTCTGCACCAATTCCACCCTAGGCTCTCCCTGCAGCCCCGCAATGCTAGCCTCCATGCGCCGCACTGCCACCTTCAGTGCCTCGCACAGCCTGCACACGAAGCTCGCCTTCTCCGCGTCGGCCAAACTGACGAAGGCCTCGTCCAGGTAGCACCAGTGCTTGCATCGTTCGCACTGTACCTGCTCACTCTCGCCCGTGGTTTTTCTAGCCTCCTTAGCCATCGCCCGCCCGACCATCGGACCGAGAACTCGACAGCCCTAAGCTCAACCCCGATCCTGCTATTCAGCCGCTTCCGCTAACACTCCTCAGCAACTGTTTTGAAGCTTCCGCCTACACCATACACTATGCGTTCGGGTCTTACAAGTGACCGCGTGCACGAAACGAACAACCGAACTTCTTCAGAACTTCGGCGAACTTCAAAACTTTCGCCTACCCCGTTCACGTAGTTAGAGTGTACTAACAGTACCCGATTAGCAAAAACAAAAAAGGTGTTCATATTTATAACAGTTATTTCAATTATTCTAACAACCAAACGAGCAAAAACAAAACATATAAATGAAAAACTTATCTCCCGTTGCACCTGCACGAACCACCTGCTTCTGCCGTTTCTTTGTCTGACCTAATTCGATGGATGCATGGATTGATATAGCTGTACCCTTCGGATTGGGCGGCGGCTATCGCTACCTAGCCGTAATACTTAGTGAACCAACAACTAGATTTATTTTTTTTTCTTTAAATAGTGTACTTGAGGACTGGGGCTTTGCAGTGAAAGGTTTAATTTTCACTCGTGCCTTGATTTTAGCTACCAATCAGATAACCTCCGTCTAGTTATTTCTACCCGCTTAAAATCTATTTGCCCTCGCTGTTTCTAAACCCAAGTGCTTTGAAAAACTCTGCGCCATCATCCTTTGCAGGACATTATCAGGTGTTCGGCAGTTTCCTCCTACTTTCCACACGCACTGACTACCGACGTGCCTACCCCTTCGTATTTGGCCCGATAAGTTTTGGTTCGCAATACTCCCGGCCTGACCTCAAACAGTAGAGAAGTATTATCATAGATCCTCTCCTTGGAGATTTCCTGCTTAAAAGTTCGACAGATCTCTAGTGAGAGCTTCTTAATCATACGAATTCTCCACCTATCGGTCTCGGTTCCCTTCACCGTCTTCATAAGCGATAGTTCTTTTTGGTTTGGCCCCATGCTGTTTTTTAAGTTCTTACCTGTCAATTTTATGGTTCACTTCTTCCATTTTGTATCGACATTCCTCATGTACAAGTAGCTGAAAACCTTCCTAGCCCAACACTCCTTCCCCATTTCTCTCAATCGCTTCTCAAATAAAGCCTACTATTTCACTTTGCTTAATTTCTAATCTTGCTTGAACCTCCGATCTTATTTATGCACAAGACAGCATTGCCGAACGTCAGACCAGGAACCACGACCCCTTTCCATATTCCTTTCACGTCATACCTACTGTAATTCCACAGTGCCCTATTTTTCATCACCGCTGCATTCCTGTTACCTTTAGGCGTTACGTATATTTCGGGTTCCCTTAGGTACTCGGTCCCATTGATTATCCATACGCCCAGATATTTGTATTTATCGGCTATCTCTAGCGTGACCTCATGTATCGTAAGCTCACCACCTTCATTATCATTAAAATCATGACTGCTGATTTTTCCTAGCTGAATCTGAAATCTAACCTATCTCCCTCATTACAGCAGATGTCCATCAATCTCAGCAAATCTTCCTTGTTGTCGGCCATTAGCACTATTCAATGAGTTTTCCTTGTTTGATGAAACAGAGGTTGAAGTTCACTCCGCTCTAATTTGGCCTCTAAAGCTTGTGGGTACATCATGAATAACAAGGGTGACAAAGGACACCCCTGCCTAAGCCCCCGTTTTATGACTACTTTGTTACTTTTAGATATATCCTCAAAGAATCAAGCGAAAGAAAAGCGCCGCGCTGTGGAGAAAAGAGCAGGCCACGCCCACCTCTGGAAACGCGCTTTCCGAGCGATTGGGACGCCCGAAGAGAGACCCGCCGCGCGCCCGCAATCTCGGAGGCAGGGCTGGCCAACCACCCGACCTTGACCGCTGGATTCACGGACCTCGTCTCCACTCATTACTTTACTTTATACACGAAGTAAATTTGCATGTGTAGTTTTTAATCAACTAGCGCGCACTGCTTAGCATGCATGCGAACGCCGTTTTTCAAAGAAGGGGAAGAAGGCACCCCTTTATTGCGCACGCTGATCAAAAAAAAAAAAAAACAGCATTAGAAAGTTTAGCACGTACAAAAAAAAAAAAAGCGCGAGCCATTTTGCTCGAACACAAGGCTTCGCTGTACTAGGGTGGCTTAGGCACCCTAAGTGTACGTCGTTTGCTAAATGCCACGCGCCCCTGCAGCGCCCGCGGAAACTGGTCTATCAGTGCACTTTGGGGGGGGGGGGGGGGGGGGGGGGGGGGGGGGGGGCGGTTTCCGCGGGCGCTTTCTACGCCTCCCCATTCTAGCCAGCCTAGTTCAGAATGCTGCACTACTCATCACATGAGTAGGTATATTCGAAATGTAGCCCTATCACACAGACTTCAGTACATGGAGTTAGAGAGAAAAGGAGTAGTTGGAAATGTCTGTTGAGGCTGTGTAGTGAAAATTTGGTTGGGTAACAAATGGCACCGACTTCTTGACCAAGAACTATCTAACGAACATCTAATGAACATTGACACTAGGTGCTCTAAATAGAGAGCACTACAACGATGAAGCATCCAACGTGGTTCCTCCGTAGCACTCACCTTTTATGCGCCCAATGCGGCATGAACATGTTTGGAAGCTTTGAAACACGAATCCTTATTGGCCACCTTGTAACATAAAAAATAAATCATGGTGACCGACACAATTAGAACAAAAACAATAAACCACTCTTGTAAGAATCAAGGCCCTCCTATAATGGTAAAACTTGAGCATCCATGAGTGAACGGCATCTGCTTTCCACTAGTTTCGACATCACTTTTTGCATGAGCAGAGCTGTGCATGCCCAGGACGTTTTCACATAGTAAATATAAATGGAAGTTTCATCCCCAGCATAGTCATTTTTAATCAGACACAGCCCAATGCCATAATCTTTTCACCCACTTTTGTTCATTTGTAAAAATCCGTGGCACAAATTTTGCAGCAAGCAGCCACATTCCCCACACCTGGTGAGAGACTCATAGCCCAGTATTTCAGATGCCAACCCATACCACTAAGTTGAGCAGAAACCACCAAGGTGGTGGAAAGGTTACAAACAGGAAAGCAGACTACCAACTATACCTAATAGCAGAGGCTAGCTGAAAATTATACGTATTTCACAGAAAGCATGATAGCTGCAAAGAATTCATCTTGCTTCAGCAATTTTTCAACAAATATGATGCTTTTCTTCTGCGAAACCTGTATGCAATTCTTTTAAACCTTGTGCTACATAAGGGTGGTTGTCAGCTTTCTCTTTCATCTTCTATATTATGACTGGAATAAACATATTTGTTCACTGCCTCCACAATATAATCAGTTTTTATAGTCAAAGGTTCTCCTGAACGGTCATCATCGCCATGTAAAAGAAAGACCCTTTTATGTGGCAACGCAAAAGTTACCCATGTTCTCATAGCTTGTGCGTTGCCATCTTTCAAAAAATCTCAATGGCTTCTAGTGCACCTGGTTGTGCGAAATTTCACAAAAACCTGCCCCGACATTTTTTATAAACTTATTTCAATGTGCAGAAAAGCACTAAAACAGTGGACGCAAACGCGCACAACGAAGCAATAAATTGATATAGACCAAGCTCCCTCTTCCCCAGCTCGCTTACTGCGGGTAGAGGACAGTAACAGCTTCTCTTTAACTGAAAGCCTTTTTTCCTATATAAATCTAGTGTTTGCTGGACCTGCCACCTGTGTCAACACCTGTAAAGTTCACACAACTATGCATGACAGCAGCAACAGAACTGCATCCTAAATTGTGTATCCACAAAGATTTCATAATCACGGTTTGAGAAATGCAGAATATGTGACAGCACTATTTTTGCATAACATGGAGACAACTACCATCAAGCGTTGACCACAAGCACTCCTGTTTAAGGCATGCGATGTCGTGGCACGACAAAAAAAGCAATTGCATGCCATTTTGGAGACACAATTTCTGAAAAGCAATAAACAATTTTGTTTATTTACAGCATGATCCAACAGTGTTAATGAAATGCAGCAGTTTGGAGCAATTGTTTCAGCATTCCTACCACTGCAACCATTGATGCTGTCCATAGTTGTATTCATGTTTACTTTGAAAAATAACCCTGCACAGATTCTTGCATTTGCAAACAGCACTGTTTGCAAGTGCAGTAGACTTTCAGCAAACGAAAATTGTAACAGAACTGCTGCTTAAATGGAAATGATTCTGACAAGATTGGCTTTGTTCTCACATTGTGCGCCCCCGTTCATCTCTCAGTAAACGGTATTCATCTCTCAGTAAATGGAACACATTTTACTGGTCCCTTCAGATTTCGTTTAATGAAAGTCTACTCTAAGTGCAAACACTACATATAAGGGCATACACACCATGAAGTGTCCTAAACCCTGTTATAGAGCCAGCTACACATGGTAAACAGGGAGCCTGTCCTCACAAAGGCTGTTCTAACGTTTAATTCTTTTCTCATATTTTGGATGTCACAGTATCATTAAGCATCGAAGTGTGCGCAGCAAAAAGAACGGGAGCACTGCTATATTTTCACATTTCAACAGATGCTCGATTTTATTTACATAGGATTACTCAAAGTGGGAAAGCAATGGTGATTTGATGGGAGAAGCTGCAGAAGGCTAGCTAAATTTGGCTCGCTTGCGGGCGATGGCATCTTCAACTGCCTTCAGCTGCTTCAATAATTCCTCACGCCTCAAAGTGGTTGATTTACGACCAGTGGGTGGAGGAGAGGGTGATGAGGCCAACTTTGGAGAGGCTGGACGTTTCTTGGCACCTACAACCAAAAAGAAGCAATGCTAGTTTAATACATGAAACATCCAATAAAGCAAAAGCCACAAGCTGATAACTCATCTCCGTTACCTTTGTCTTCGTTGTTTTTAACAGCTGGCTCCTCCTTTTTGCATAACGCCGCCAATGGAAGTGACTAAAAAAAGAAAAAGGGAATGTTCACAAAAGTTAAGCAAATCAAAATCTCGTAAATTAATAGCTAGCTTATACTGCTCCCTGCTCAGCCATGTGACACATGCACTGAGCAGGGAGGCAGTCTGCCCATGCTTGGTGTAGTTTGTCTAATTCACTTTGTGCCATGCAGATGATTTTCTCTGAGGTGCGATTTCCATTCATCTGCGCAAACCGAACTATACAGATTTTTCCCCGACTGTGAGGAACAACAACTTAGCGTGAGTGCGGTAAGCATGGCATCTACCAAAAGAGTCGAAAAAGCCTTCTCCGCAGAATTTTGTTGTCTTATGAAAACAGCAAAGGCTACAAATTGACCTGCTGGGAGTAGTACACCTCCTCAACAGTGCTTGGCAGCAAGTTCACGCAGCAGCTATCGCGAACTGCTTTGCGCAAGCTGGGTTTTCCCGTGCCCCCAGTATACCAGAAGCAGAGACAGCAGAGGCAGATGATTTCACAGATTGTGAGGAACTTTGTCAAGAGGTCACCAAGCTTACAGGTAACTGTGCGCTTTTCTTGAGTATGCGCTGTGAGCAGGATGTGGCAGCGGCCGAACACATAATGGACGCCGAAATCGTTTAAACAGGCACTAGCATAGGGGACGGCGGAGACAACAGTGATGACGAACCACCTTGAGGGGTGCCGACAGCTTCTGAGACGAGAAATTTGCTGCTCTTGCTTCAAAATAAGGTCGAGCACAGCCGCGGGGAAGATGGAGTGATGCAATGAGCCAAGCAGCTGGAGGACGCCTTCCTAGGCCCGAGTACGACCGCAAAGTAGATGAGCATTAGACAATTGTTCTCTGCTAAATAAAATGGCAGAATGGCAAAGCCCAGCCAGTTGAAGTCTCCTGTATGTTTTTTTTTTGCTTTTAAACATGCATGAGAAGAAAGAGTAGACACTGCCGCTGAAGAGCCTGTAAGTAGTAGTAATTTTTCTGAAAAGTGATCATTTTTCCTGGCAATTAGTGCAACTTTGCTTATCTCAAAAATAAATTTATCTCAATATTTTCCCTGTTTTTACGACGTTACGATGAGTGAATGAGGTAGTACTGTACATAGGTCCGAAAAAAAAAAATCATGAACACTGAGGTAAGCTATGCAACAGTGACCGCAGTATTGAAGCTGGTACTTAGTCTAGAGCTTTGAAATTAAACGTTGAACCTACTACCACACATACAACTAAATATGCCATAAAATAGATATTAAACAACTCATTGTACACTCAAACCTCAATATATCGAACACGGATATATCGAATTATTGCCTATATCGAACGGTTCCTATATCACGCGGGAAATCGGATGCATTATTGATTTTTTATTTCGAACAAAGTTTGACATATAATGGATATATCGAACTCAGCCACCCCAAACCGCCCGCGCTCCATTGACAGGCGGCGAGCTTTCCCGCAACTCTCGAAAGTAGGGGTAGAGCGGCGGGCGTTTACGAATGCTGCACATGTCGATGGCGCCGAGAGCGCCACTTTAACGTAGCGGCGTACACGCGCCGCAGCCTTGTGGTAGAGGTTCTTAAATGAGGAAAGAGAAGAGAAAAGCGCGGAGCTGTTATCGTCTTTCAATACGAAGGCACCGACACGGCTTCACGCGGGGGAAGGGGGAGTGGGAGGTAAAGATTCAGGAAAAAAGCATAGGAGGGAAAGGACGCAGACGACTGTCTCGGACGCGGCCCGGGCTGCCGCCGGGAAAGAGAAAGCAGTCAGGCGAGCCGGCATGGGCGCGCCATGTGCGCGCTTTACACCCGGACTCACGCCGCAGCCTTGCAGCTTGCAGTCGTTGCAGTCTCTATGGTGTCAACGGCACACTGCGCACTTGTTGCAAGCTCCTCCCCCGTAGCATCCGCAGGCATCAGTCGTTGTGCTCGCAGTATTCGTGCCTTCGGAGTTAGGCCTGTCGCGCGCTGTGCTCACGGATGTGGAGATTGTCGCCGAAGCTACTGCTGAGCAGCCAAATGAAGACTCTGCCGAGGTGGATCCTGCAAGCGCTGATGGTGCCCCGCTCCCGACATCAGCTGAGGTCGTAGCTGCCTTGGCCCTTGTGCGCCGCCACTGCGGCTCGATTGAAGGCACCTGCCTATCATTTATGGATCGCCTGGACTATATTGAGGACGCAGTCGTCAAACACACCATGGCCAACAAAAAGCAGGCTGCTCTTTTTAAATATTTTAAACCAGCACAATAAATACTATGTTTGAATTTTCAGGTGAGTATTTACTGCACCACGCTTGAACAGTTCGTTGGTTGTTTTGAGCAAGCTGTTGACGCATTTTTTTCGTTTTTTTTTTATATTGAATTCTGGATATATCGAACTGTTTCGCAATTGCCGCACAGTTGAATATATCGAGGTTCGACTGTAGCATTACCACCACAAAGTGCTAATGCCAATGCCATTAATTTCAGGACATCTTACCTTTTTAATGAGGGTAAGCTTTATCTGAGGCTTCGGTGAGACACCCTGCTGGCGTAATGCGGCTTCGCGGGCCTGCCGCTGAGCCGCGTCGTCCTCAAAGCCACCAAGATTCAGAGGAGGAGGAGGCAGTGGCTCCCGGCAACGAAGAATCAGGCCGCTTTGACCAAATTCCATAGACGTTGGAGGTGCCGGTGGCATCTCTTTTTTAGCAGGAGGGGTGCCCTTGGTCAGCAAGTCTTTCTCGATTCGTTTTTTGGATCCCTCAGACACTGCATTTACAAAATCTCATCAATAATTTGCAAAGGGTAGCCCATTCAAAGTCAGCATCTGGAGGGTTATACCAAAGCAGTGAGAGGAGTAAAAATTACAACAAAATGTGTGGTAGCATGTATGTATGACAAAAAAAAATCATCATTCTAATCCCCCCCCCCCCCCCAAGTTTTGTAGTGGTTTTTGTTCTTTATGCAGCGATTTTTTAATCGCACAGTACCTTTTAGTACTACACGATTTGAACATCTCAATATGGAAACTTTCAGTACTGAAAAAATATTTGCGCCCCATAGTCAATAAACAAAATAAAAAAATGAATACTTTAGCTAGTTGGTTAATGTGCATATTGAAAGGGTCTGCAGCGCAAGCACGGAAATGGTAAAAAAAAATCTGTTTTTCTTTTTTTCTTTTTTATGGAAACCAATGTCGTCCCTTTTTGCTTTCCCTTCTTCACTGTTACTCTTTAAAAAAAAAGTAAATGGAGTATATTTCTGAACATTACATCAAAAATCAGCCGCTAATTAAACATACAAACCACAAACAAAACAGCTCATTGTATAGAAATCGCTCTATGTGCTCCAGAGGATTATCGGGTGATATAAATCTAAAGTTTTGCCTGGAATGGCAGAACATGGAAAGTGAGGAGGCTTCACATAAGGATTCTCAACAGAAAGCTGCACCCACTGACGAGCACTTGCAATGTTTGCTTAAGACATGTTCTTGCACCACCAGCATCTAACTTGTGTTCATTGAAAGAACATGGCAAAGAGGAAAAACTATGTTTTGACGGGCTTGCTTGGATGTATCGAGCCATCGGACGCCGTTTTTTTTCACACAAAAACCGCTTTGCTGCAGCAGGACAAACTAAAATAATCAAGTAAGTGCTTTCATACAATAAGCAATAAGCTATTTAAGCTATACCAGAGATGTACCAGAGATGACTGTACTTTTTGAAGCATACTTTGGAGCAGAAAAGTACTACTTTGGAGCAGCTATAAGAGTTTTCAGAGCAGAAAAAAAATTCTACTTTAGAGCAGCTACTAGTGTTTTAGGAGCAGACATAAAATCTGCCATGCATTTTTGGAGTTCAGAGAATTGGCAAAGCATATGGTAAATATTTTTATTATAAAATGTATTTACTAGACCACAATCAAAGTAAATTTCATGAATCAAACATTGGCAGGTTGTCAAAAATGTGCTGTGAAATCAGCTACAATTTGAAATACTAGTATTTGGGGCAGAAATGAAATTAAACCAGAAAAGCTAAGTGCCACATTTTAGAAGTAACCACAGTCCCATATAAGCGTTGCCAAACAAGCAGTAGATAATAGGTATGAGATAAAAGCAATCTGGCTCATTTTCACATTTCACCACACTAGCCTGCATGTCCAGCTGAGAAGAAAAAAACAGCCAAATGGCCTACATGGTCTATATGACAGTTCTATCGCAGAAATGGAATCACAGCCAATATTTCTGCACAATAGTAGCACACTGGGATGAAAGTACCCCGATTCTTTCACGAGTTCATCAAAGAATAAAAGTTAGTCACTCTCATTCTCTCTGAGTTATTTCGGAGCAGCTTTGGAGCGATTGATAACAAAAATTAGTGTTTGGAGCAGCACTTCCATCTCTGTACAAGTTCTATCGCTTAAAAAACTGAGAAAACTACTGTCATTTCGCAAAAAGTCTTCAAACTATCATCAAGGCGCATGCGCCTAGACAGAAAAGATATGTATATGTATACGTATCTATATATGATAACTCAAGAAAGAAAGCAAAAAAAAGCTGCCCACGCTCGGCGCCCAGCTCGTCACGATGCGCGCTTATATCTCACGCATACTTTGCTCCACGAAAGGGGGGGGGGGGGGGGGTCAGATACTTGTGTGCACGTGCGCTTATCCTTCGATGGGGAGAATCGCGTGCCTTCGACTTTGACCGTAACGATTGCCTTTAGTTGCCAGACGCACAAAGATCACTTCGCTTCCTGGACAGGCACCGTTTACGAAAAGAGTGCACTTTTCAAACACAGCAAAGTAACAACTGGGGTACTTGTTAGTTTGCACTCATATCTGTACGTGCGATTCCGTTTAATGCCTCGGTTTTGTTTAAACAGCACATTAAGTGTCGAGCCATAAGCGTTGTCAGTTCGCTCTCGTCCCGTGTATGTTGTTTTCGTGCATCAATTGTGCATGAGTAGTGAACTGCACGTTTCGATCTGCTTGTCATTCTCAGCGTTACATTCCAAGTTGTTGCTATTGCATTCATTGCTTCGCCCTTGTGGCGAAAGTGTGACTTTTCTTAATTTCGGACAACCGTGTCATCACTATTGAGGGGATGTCAGATTAGGCGCTGATGGAAACTCTGCGAGACCCCGGTGATGACCAATCATCGGAGGTTGACTCATCATGCGCTTCCGTCTTGCGCCGCGAGTTCGCAGGCTCGTAGCTTTGGCAATTAGACAATTAGTTCTGGCAACAACAGGACGGCGTATTTATTCAATGCAATTACAGTAAAAGCTCGTTATCGGATCTCACGGGACCAGAGAAAATGTCCGAGTTAACCGAATTATCGAACAGACCATGAAAACAAAAGGAAAACGTACACGACACAGACAAACCTTTATTTCTTAAAGAAGTGCGTTATTTTTGCCTGCCTCGCCATCAGAATTTCTGACAGAACTATCTTATTTAATCCCACCAGGTGGTGGTGCGCACGTTCACTGTCGCGAGAAGAAACGCAGAACTCCTCGAGGATAGCGAAGGCTTCGGAGGCCTCCTGCATGGTGCGGCGACATCGCGTCGGCTCATCACATCTTTCAATATCACGCCCTTTCTTTCAACATCATTTGCTGGCTGCAGTGGCCGCTTAACTCCTGTGATGGTCGGCATGAAGTGCGACGGCGGCGACAACGTGCGCAAACACAGCCGCAACACGCGAAGTCACAACACAAAGAACCAAGACACGAAGTAGTACACCAGTAGGCGTAGCATGGGCATAGCGAGCAGCTGTTAGTAGATACTGAATGCGCCGGTGGCCCAAGCGCTTCCGCCGGGTGGTGACTAGCGCCACCTAGCCACTTCCCCCTCATTCACTACTATCACTGTCATATTCTGCTGCAGTTTGCTCGGTTTCGGTTCCTCCAAAACTCTGGTTCTGCCGTCGGTTACGGCAAGCAATGTTCTCTCCGGAGTTGTCCGAGATAACCGGTGCGTGGCTAAATCCCTCCGAATTAATGAGCATTTGACCTCATTGAAATATACACAGTTTTGCCGGGACCGCGCCGAGAGTCCGAGTTAACTGAATTTCCGAGTTAACGCGGTCCGGATAAACGAGCTTTTATTGTAACACGATAGCAAAAAATTGTAATGTTAATAAGTAAGGCTGGCAGCCAACTCTTTTGGATCCGATATCGAGGAACTCCTACAAAACGCTAGTGTGAGCAAATACGGCTGCTCCAGGGAGAAGTGCTCTTCTCACACAGAAGTGCTCTTCTTACACATTCCCTTTGCGTTGAAACCACACTGATGCTCCCCGAGATAGCAAGCGTGCCAGCGATCGCGACCGCCCTTAAAATCATCAAAGTCCATTATTGCTACTCGAGCGATTCCCCCTTCCCCTCATCCCTGCGTTGTTTCATGCTCGTTCAAGACGGGCGGTTTACTTTCTGTTTAAGCATTCGACGGCAGTTCCAACACACGGGAGGTGTTATCTTACGCACTTTCCAGCCGATAGGGATGGGCCGACTCATTTGATCTCTGCTTCAGCAGAACTTACACGTTTTTACCCGCTCGAGAAAGTTACGATGTGCGGGGACATGTTAACAATTTGGACTTGTTACGGAACATGGCGGCGATGACAAAAACCCGCCGAGAGCGTCCGTATAATTGCTATTGCAATATTAACACAGTTTTTTACTGTAAATAAGTGTTTTGGGTTAGCTCTGTCTTCACTTCCCCTTTTGTTTAATTTGCCCATTTATTTTCCGAATTTTCGTACCGAACCTACATTTAACGAAATCCTTTTGTAACAAACTTTTCTGGAAATTTATCAATTGCGTTATATCCAGGTTTAACTGTAGTACAAGAAAGCCACCGCCAGCAACAGCGCAGCATATCGCGCGAGGTACGCCATCATAGCAGAGGATGCGCCAAAAGTAGTGCAAAATCGGGCTGAAGCGCCGCTAGTGCTCACGACCGCCATTCAGCCCCCCCTCCTTCACTGGCAGGGATACGAAGCTTTGAAACTGAGTTTATTCTAGTAACGCTGTGCTTGGCCACTGAAACTTTCGGGTTTTTGGTGCAGGTTACACGTGCAAAAATTTGGTAGGCCAAATGGTGACAAAGAAAATGGCCGCACAATCTGCTAAAAAAAAAACTGCTCAAGAAGTTCCCCCTCGCCTCCACTTCTCTTAAATGCATCTGAATCACAGTTCTTGGTATCATTTGCCTTTTGCGAATTTCATGCTTGCTTTGGTGCGCTTTTGATGCCCTTTTTTTCTGCATTTTAGTATTAAAAAAGCTGTGTTCGAAGTTTCACATTCTCTTTACTTCTACAAAAGTTGAGATTTTTGGCTTGTCTTGTGACACGACTTCTTGGACATGTGGCTGCTCTCGTGTGGCTTTGTTCCCTATGACTTCAAATCAAGTTGCCTAAATAAAGGAGTGGTTTGATAGACATTACAGAAAAACTGCAATCTAATAATTTCACACACTGAAAAAGTTACACCTTTTAGATTCATGCTCTCATAAGACTAATTAAGTCTCATTTATTGATTAAAAATAAACATAGGATAATTTTTACAGATAAAGAGAGAGTTATTGTGACACAAATAGGCTTACACCATTATAGCCTATACCTTCTTTCCAAATAACAAACAGTTATGGTCAAGACACTGGTGGCACAGGAATTTTTGAGCAGTTTATTTAACGACACAGGTCGGGGAGTAAAAAATTGCCCCCCTGCTTCATACATGTTCAATAGGTACTCTAGCCTGTGAAGAGCATCATCATACAACTGGTGATGGAAACGCTAATATACGAGACTTTCACTGTTTCAGAACATTCATAGATGCTTGCGGCAATACAAAGCACAGCTCGAGGTATGTCTAATTAATTGCTTCCCTAGTGCTTATATTGAGAGCATTCTATTTGACTGCTAAGAGATCAGACGCGGATTTTGTGGAACTGGCATACGATGTGCTTGGTAGCAGCGTTCGGTGATGATGAGCGAAAGGTGTAGCTGCGATGATGAAAAATTGGCATTCAGTAAGCTTACACTGTAATTATCGAGTGCCGATGTGCGAACTTGCTTTTGCGAACTTGTTTTGAGCAGTCCTTGGCCGGCGAGGTCTGACAAGCTTAACGATGGGGTTCGTTGCCAATACATGAAATCCCCATCTGCGTTTCGGAGGAGCCGGCAGCGATCAATGTGCTTCATTGCTTGCGAAGAGGCATGTTGCTGTGGGTGCGCTAGCCCGTGGTTTCTTGTCTATAAAGTTCGAGGTTTGTCTCGCCATCAGCAGAGTTAGAGTTAGGTTTAGTGACAACACCGAGCATCGGACGCAAAGTCTACGAGAGCAAACAGCAAGAAAATAAAAGAACTGGCTGAGAAGAGGAGAAGGCATTGCACAGGGCAAGTGTAGTTGAGGCTCTCGAGAACACGCGAGGCAAACACCCAGTCTAGTAAGTGGCCTGAAATTGACAATAACTTTTGAAAGTCAGCTAAAATTAACTTTCTCTTCTCTCGACAAATGATGCTTTGTACTTAAGAACAATTACGTCATAGGCCTACGTATTATGCCAGAGCTTGATCTGAGCATGGCGCGCTCAGGAGTTGCGGCCACGGAAGGCTGCAACGTGTGCGATCGCACAGAAAAGCCATGCATCATTAAAAAAAAAATAAGGGAGCAGAGAGAAACAGTGCTTACGGCCACGAGACACGCGTGACAAGCCATCTTTCCTGATGCCATCCCTACCTGCTTAGCTTCGAGCAGTCTCGTTGGGACGAGAGAAGAGGGCAAGCAATTGGAGTGTGTGAGATGAATCTTTATACCTAACTCTACTCGTACAGGATGGATTTTAAGAACTTTTGCGGCAGTCAATTTGTGAGACAATAACATTTTTTGGTGAATCCATTTCATAGCTATATAAAAAAGCATTGTAAGACCCCTTCAGTTTTTATGCTTTTGAGGCTGTTTTGGAGCAATTCGGCACATTTTTTTAATGCTTTTGCAGCAGTTTGATGCAGGAAAATGTAATTTTGTAAAAATACCCAATATGCACAACTATCTCACTCCTTCGTGTATCAAAAGCTCTATTGTGAGCTCCCAAACATTCTCATTTGCATTTATCAAGGGTATAGTTTACCTTTCTTTGGTGGCGATGGGTTCCTAGAAGGGGGAATGCCAGCACCACTGCGCGATGAACTGCGGAACTTACGGCAGCTGGCTGAACTCGAAGTTGAAGAAACACTGTTCAAGCTGGGACTGCGGGTGTAGCTTCGAGACCGTGAACGTGATGGTGTGCGAGATGAGCTTGACCTAAAAGAGCACAGATCAAGAAACTAGGATGATTTAAAAATCAAATGCACGTACATGATCAGACAACTGCTGAAAAGTTATGCATAGAAATTATAAGCAAGAAAAGCTTCCGGAGAATAACTCAAAGTTTAGACCCAATTTAGCATAATCAATATCTGGTATAATAATTTTACATTCACAAAAGACTCCCTTCCGACTTACTCTTTAATGTCATTTGACCTACAGTGGTTTTACACAAACGATGATGGCCCTTAGCCCCCAATAGAGAAGTTCCATGACTCTTTGCTACATTTCTTATAAATAATGTAGCGCAAAGAAACAAGACACAAGAAAGACACAACTGTGTTAACCCACACACACAGCACTACTTTTCGAACAAATATTATGGCCTTCTTGTGGCAATAAACACTACTACGATTTGCCCACACAAGAAAATGTGCACTGAATTGACCAATTAAAAAGTTATTTCCATCTGATGCTTATTGCAAGTGCTTGATATGGTGCAACGCTCTCTGGTCTGTCTGCTTGTAGCCTCATGGGCAACTCAACGTTACTAGACTATGTTCAGTTTTTAAACTGCCGTGAGTGCGTGAACTGGCCACCGATTGTCGCATATAGGGGCGTCTGTTCCATCTTGCTCAGTCAGTGCGGCGCGGTTGAATGGGACGTGCCAGTGGAAATGCAGTCTGTCCGCGGCTGCGAACGCGGTTGGGCGTTCTGTGTTTGTGTGTATTTTGCTCGGTTTTGCGACCTTTGTTAAGTTTAAGGTTTGTGACGCCCATTTTCACGAGCAAGATATCTGCAAGAACTACCTGCATGTCATTAATGAAACTGTTGTCGGAACACCACGTGAAAAATGGAGCCTCAGTGTGTTGTTTCGATGATTTTTCCCAGCCTGCCTGCTTACTCGTTTCCGTTGAGGAAAGCTTTAATGCAAGCAAGTCGACAGCTCTTGCCCAAAAGCAGGCTCGAGAAGAAAGGCTGGCTGGTTTCCTTTTGCAGATTCAGTTGCGAGAGCACGCACCTGGTGATGCATTCCAGCATAACTACAATAGCCCTGTCGCAAGAGATGCGGTTTTATATACCTTGTTGGGTATGTCGTGAAAAAAGCAGGGAAATTCTCCACCTGTGCCGACTGTCTCGGCACGATCATGGGAATCTGCATTGTTTCACCAGCGGCAATCATGACCAAAATGAAATAGTCTAAATGTTTCACTCACTCTAAAAGAAATCGAGTATCTGGCTTTGATGCAATAGATTGTAAGTATGTGCTGAGGTGTGGTGTTGTACCCACGTTATGAGATAACAATTGTTTGGCTGTGATGCAGTAGGTTGCCCGATTGTGCTGTGATGTGCTGGTTTCTGTCACGAGTATATATTTCAAGCGTTTTCGCTATAAAATTTCAGCTAAGTCAGCGCTCTTCTTCCGTAGTTATGCCGTAGCTACTCGTGGTTTTACACTGTGCAAATATGTTGATTCCCAATCACCAACTAGCCGGAGCATCTCTCTTATCATTAGTACCCGGCACCCTGCAGCAACCTTCAAGTGCCCTATGGTGTCTACTTTCAAAGACTGAGGGCGTCATTGAAGAAAAGATGCAATCAAAGAAGGTGTTCAGAGACCTGTTTCAGATAATTGTAGAAGAACTTGGCCAAAATTTTTATGCGCGGTTCCTGCAACGAGAACGTGCCTTGAATGTGCAAGTAAAGTCGGCCCGCAAGCGAGCAAAGCTCATATAGACCTCAATGTTGCCCTTGTTAATGTGGTGCTTGGATGTACAAGAACAGTGTTGGCTTAATTTTTTTGTTCATCTCAAAATAAAATGCCAAGAGTGTGTGTCTTAGATTTAATGACCTAGCTTTACATTACCTGCACCAGCTCGCATGCTCGTTGTTACTTAACGGCTGCTTCACTGACTAAAAGATTAGTTGGCCAAAAAGGATTAACAGGCTTTTTCTACGGAGCCCAGTTAAGTTGAGTTGCACGAACGTGTAGAGAGTTTTCAAAACCGTTACTGTTTAGATACAGTACGTGACGTGTCGTTAGGATGCTGAAAGCCAAATCAGCTTTGAAACGAGTCTGGAATCTTGAAGACGATGATGAAATGTAACGGGAATCTTCATCATGGCTCGTTACTAAATCCACAAGAATCGAACAGCTTCTGACAGCTCTTACAGAGCCTAGAAGATGGCCAAAGCTGCTGGAGCTCTTGCTAACGCACTTAAACAGAGCAATCCTGGGAAAGTGCAGTGGCGATTTTCACAATCGGTGAAGTTGTGCTGTCGATATGCTAAACACGAGGCCATAGAAATATTAAAAAAGGTAAATCGAAAAAAGCACCGGTTGCAATTTTTCGAAATCGAACTGAGCGTGTTCGCCAGTATGAGAGATGCACTTGCGTAGAGCTGCATGTGGCGCTCCCGCCATCTGGCATTGAGCAAAGGCACGGAGGTGCCCGCAATGTATGGCGCCTGCGGAGAGTTTGAAAACTGAACCTAGTGTAGTAACGTTGGGGCAACTGGTATGCTTCAATGAGTAATGGAAGACACTGCACTTCATAAGTAAACATTGATTGATATCTGGGGTTTAACGTCCCAAAACCACTATATGATTATGAGAGACGCCGTAGTGGAGGGCTCCGGAAATTTAGACCACCTGGGGTTCTTTAACGAGCACCCAAATCTGAGCACACGGGCCTACAACATTTCCGCCTCCATCGGAAATGCAGCCGGGATTCGAACCCGCGCCCTGCGGGTCAGCAGCCGAGTACCTTAGCCACTAGACCACCGCGGCGGGGCACTTCATAAGTAAACAGGCTACTAACACGAAATTGCGTGGTTGAGATAGCCTGCTGGATTAATTATAGTATATATGTATATATCATCCACCACATCAAACAGCAAATATAGTTTTGACGGTAATTTATTTGAATTTTGATGATCACAACGGGACCCAGCCATACATTCAATGCCTCGCGACTTTGACACAATCCAAGGCAGGTGTCTCAAAAACGTGGCCCGCGAACCTCTCACTTGTGGCCCACATACACACACACATAGCTATGTTTGTCTCCTGTGTGTGTGTGCATACACACACACACACACGCAGGCGAGGAAGATACTACAAAACTTTCACGAAATCGTCTTTACTTAACATTTTCAGCTGGTGGACCAGCCTTCGAAAGAGCAACGTTACTCTGACGAAGACTGGTTCACCAACAGAAAATATTAAGATACTTTTTTGATAGTTTCGACGTCCCTTCCTAGCATGAAATATGTCGGGTCCAGCGTGAATGGTGTTCAAAGAATTGTGTGTGTGTATGTGTGTGTACACAATAATTTTCACAGTAAACTACACAGGCATGAGTGGTCCAAAGCACAAAGCATTGTTTTTGTTAGGCACCCTCTGTGGTCTACATGTGCTGAAGCGTAACCGTGAAACAAGAGCAGTATTTCAGAATTGATGACCTGTGTATGAGATATGGGAACGGTTTTCTTTTCAATGGTAATGGCAACATTTGCTGACAACGTGAGCAAACCAAACCTCTGCACCCCCCCCCCCCCCTCTTGCTCTTGCGAGACAAAATTCTGTGACTCTGGCCCGCTGCTTGAGAAAAGATTGAGACACTTGATCTAAGGTGACTTACAGATAACCCCCACCTTCCGAGACGTCATCACTGTGGCTGAGTGCCTAGCTGCTGCAGCTATAATGATGGCATCACAGTTGCCATTGTGCCTGCAGGCTACTATTCTGTGGCTGCTCGTGAGTCTGCCCACAGTGAATGTGTGGAAAGTGTGTGTGGAAGCCTTAAGAAAGTTATTGTCACCTAAGGACAATAAAAAAAAAAAAGCAACAATGAAGGCAACAACATCGCGCAGCACATCTGGCAGTGAAAGAATGTAAGCAGACAATGCAGGCAGCGTGAAAGCGCACTGCCGCTAGCTCTGTGCACCATTTCCCATGCTAGATGACAATAACTGCACCCGGCAACCTGTCGTGCTTAAATCACTTCCGAATCGAAACCGAGACTGGTCAGTAATACACAGGCTGTAATTATTTCTTGCACACTGCAGCAAGTGATGGGTTGAGTTATGATTAATAGGCCCTCAGCAATAAAATGCAGAAAAAAACGACAAACGAAAAATTTTGTGTTGCACCCTTTCAAACCAAGCAAGACTCGGGCAACACGGCAGTCTCGTTCCAACTAAGCCTACAAACAAGATGGCACATTCAAGACTGGTAAGGCATACATCAAGTCAGATAGTACAGATTATTGATACAGCTATAGTGCTGTCGTCTGGCTCCTCATCAAGAGAGGAGAGTTTCTAGACAAAATGATGAACTGTCAATGGAAGTCAAATGCAAATATAATGGTGCTGACACTTTGGTCAGCCTAAATATAAACAAGATATGGCATTGATCTTTTGGTCAGCCCAAATATAAATAAGATATGGCATTGATGCTTTGGTCAGCCCAAGTATAAATATGAAAATGTGCATCGGTGACAAAGGCAATAGAGAAGGGCCTTGGCGGCAATAGGGAAAAGTACCGCTATATTCAGTGCTTAGAGCATAAAAAATATTTTCGGCCAGCAACCCTCCGCTATCACATCGAATAGTGATGTTTGGCGCAGTTGGTACAACTGCACTTCAATGGGCAAAGTAAGTGATTGATTGATATGTTGGGTTTAATGTCCCAAAACCACGATATGATTACGAAAGACGCCGTAGTGAAGGGCTCCGGAAATTTTGACCACCTGGAGTTTTTTAACGTGCACCCAAATCTGAGCACATGGGCCCACAGCATTTTCGCCTCCATCGAAAATGCAGCCGCCGCAGCCGGGACTCAATCCCGCGACCTACGAGTCAGCAGCAGAGTACCTTAGCCACTAGACGCGGCGGGGCGATGGGCAATGTAAGGCATGGAGAGATAGGATTGTAATGAAATAGCACTAATGAACCAGTTGGACCCCCACTGGCTTAGTTTGCACCATCTTTCA